AACTTGGTTTCCTCATCTGTAAATGAGGTTCGCTTTGCTCATCACTTTGGCTCTTTGGTTCTGAAATCTCACTCTTCCCTGGCCTGAGGGTGACAACTTGAGGTGGTGCATTCCATCAGGGGAGGAGCAGTGGTGGGCAGGAGGTGATGGTGAGCTGTGAAGGGTTAGAATGACTAAAGGGAAGAGTGAATTCAGAGGGCAAACTCTGTAGTGACAGATCTGAGTGATGCTCAGGAAACTGCTTGGCCTCTCTGAGCCTGTCTCCTGGTGACGACCACAAGGCTTCCCTGGTAGTATATAGTTCATTCAATTCATTCATAAATATTTATTGTGCATCTACTATGTCAGGCGCTGCCATAGTGATCATGGTTGAGGATCCCTGACTTAAAAAGATTCCTAATAAATAGTAACTGCTGTCTGGCCCGTGTTGCTCAGTGGTTGAACCAGGAGGTCACAGTTTGATTCCTAGTCAGGGCACATGCCTGGGTTGTGGGCTCAGTCCCCGGTAGGGGGAATGCAGGAGGCAGCCGGTCAATGATTCTCTCTCATCATTGATGTAATATATCTCTCTCCCTCTAACTTCCTCTCTGAAATCAATAAAAATCAACCAATCAATCAATAACTAGTAACTGCTATTTATTTAGTAGTAATATTACTATTTTTGTAGCTTAAGACACTGAATAAATCCATTTAGGAATGTTTGGGGGAAAATGTTTTAGAAATTAGGGTAATCTGGAATAGTTATTATTTTGCTAAGGCTGGTGTAACAAATACCTTAGACCGGAGAGCTAAACAACAGAAATTTATTTCCTCACAATTCTGAGGCCTGGAAGATGGAAGTGTTGGTATGGCCTGTAGCTGGCTGTCTCCAAACCATCCTCCCTCTGTGTGTCTGTGCCAAATCTCCTTTCCTTATAAAAACACAGTCATATTGGACCTTATTTTAACTTAACCTCTTGAAAGGCCCCATCTCCAAATACAGAATGCCACCTTCTCAGGACTTGGTGGTGAAAAGGTCAATATGTGAATTTTGGGAGGGACACAATTCAGCCCATAACAGTAGGATATACTAGGAAAATTTAGAACTTCCACTTTTTCAAAAGCTAAAAACGTAAACTTTATTGTTTAGGAAATGGATTCATAGTTTAATATATCATAGTTGCAATATACACATTTGTGGGAGACATGCTCAAAAACTGTTCCTGCTTGAGGGGCATAATTAACGAAGTTTGGGGACCACTCATCTGGGGCCTCGGGCTACAGTGGGCAGCAGGGAAGAGTCGGCAGACAGCAGAGCCCTGGGTGCTGGGCGGGTATAAGCTATTATTATTTTATCCTCACCCAAGGATACTTTTCCATTGATTTTTACAGAGAGTGGAATAGAGAGGGAAAGACAGAGAGAAACATCGATGTGAGAGAAACACATCGATTGGTTGCCTCCTGCACACGCCCTGACCAGGGCCCAGGCCAGGGAGGAGCCTGCAACCAAGGTACATGCCCTTGACTGGAATCTAACCCGGACCCTTCAGTCCGCAGGCTGACACTTTACCCACTGAGCTAGACCAGCTAGGGCTGGGCAGGTATAAATTAGATCACATCTGAAAGCAAAGGGAGCTGACACAGGGCGGGCCTGGGGTTCGACCAGAGGGCAAGGGAGGTCAGGGAGCAGCCGAGTGGCTGCACGGCCAGGAGTCGGCAAAGAGAGCGTGAAGGTGCTACATGCCCGAGGGAAGCCTTCGCACTGTGTGTGGCAGGTGAGAGCACTCTGTTCCCTTCTGTGTCCTTGCCCTGTCAGCTCAGGCAGGGACAAGGCACCTGCCCTGGACGACAAAACGTGTGCAGAGGTGACACCCGCCACTTTGTGAGCAACACCTTCCTAGCCAACACTGGGCCACCGTTCTCTCTCCCTCGGTGACTCTGGAGTCACGCTGCTCCCCCGGCCTGGTCCCCGCGTGGAGGAGACGTGGGCAGAGCCACAGCAGACCCTCCATGGGCATGCGGTGTGAGTGACAACACATCTTTGCTGTCCTCAACCACCAAGAGTGTAGGGTCATTTGTTTCTGCAGCTGAGCCTATGCTGTGTCTGTTCCTATACACAGAACTGACACAGTATTTAATAACTATCTCTCTATATAAAAGGCTAATATGCTAAGTGTCCCTCCTCCCGTCCTACTGGTCGCTATGATGGGCACTGACCACCAGGGGGCAGATGCTCAACACAGCAGCTGCAGAGCTGCAGTGACTTGGCAGTAGCGGTTCTCTGGTGATGCACCCCAAAACCAGAGAGGAGGGAGCACGATTCCTCGTGGGGCCGTGCAATTCCACCTTTGGCCGTGGGTTATGTTGTGCAATTCCACACCTCGGCTCCTCTAGGCTCCTGTCGGCCCTGAATCTGGTTTACTGCACACTTGCGTTTGCATTCCACACCCTGTACGACAGCAACTTTGCAGAGTGCCCGCTCACATTCCAGGACCTCTTGGGGGATGTCGGGAGAGCTGATTTTGGTCAGATCCCCGGAGGCCAGCCCAAGGGACCCCACCTGCCAGAGGGACCCCGTTCACTCTGCAGACGCCAGAGAGGGACCGTGGGAGGTTGGCTCCAGGGCATGTCTGGCCCATCTGGCCCAATCCTGCCCCACTGGCCACCTTCTAATTAATTCCCTTTCACTGTGTATGAATCTGTGCACTGGGCCTCTAGTTATAGCATAAAAACCAACCGTCAGAAAAAATAGCAGCTGGAGGTTCCTGTTATGCCCATGAGCTATCCCTTAGTAGTTAATCTTGGGGATGGAGCCCCAGGGAAGGGGCGAGGTAGCCAGGATTGGGAGGAAGATGGACCCAAGGGGCTCAGTGCAACAGCCATTCCAGTTGGTACTTCAGTCCCACCGTGCCTGAGTTTCCCAGCGGACAGCATCTCGCTAGCATGGAATTTCTCAGCCTAGGAGTCTCACTTTAGATATGTGTCAGCCACAGATTTGTTTTCTGCTCCTTACAGCATGAGATTCCTCAGACTACAGTGTTTTGGCATGACCAGCTTCCTTGTATTATTGTTGTTGTTATTATTGACTTGGCGCATCTCAGTAACGCACTCCTAGGCACAGGGAAAGGGAGGAAAACTCGGACAGCCACAGGGTTGGGTCGGGATGGTGAAGGGCACCACATCACAGACAACACTGCGAGACCCCACGGAGGCCGCTGACTTACCAGCTGAGGTGGCATGGCTGGGATTGCGAGGCCTGCACTTGCTAAATCAAGGCACTGGCAACACCAATCCCTATCTCTAAAGAGTGTAGTTAGGAGACGACTCGAAGGAAGAAAGCACGCAATACCTGCCAATCTACGGCTAACTCCCAAATGGAAAAGCAAACTCGAGATTCACTCCACTGACTTATTGCGCAGCAACTAAACGTTATTCTAAAATGTGGCTGAATCCCAGAGATATGGGCAGCCATGAGGCTGGTGGACCTGCATTCTTGGGCAATCGGGGTGCTGGGAGCCCCGATTGGACCAAATGCCCCAGTGATTGCCCATTCCTCCGCCCTACAGAGTATACATCCACTGGGCAGAATGCCAGGCCCTCTCACTGCGTTCTCCCAAGCACTGCAACATCACTGAGCCTGGAGACTTCAAACCCCCTATTTACAAAAAAGTGGGACTATGAATATGGGGGTGATTTTCGGTTACAGTATCCCTAGTCTCTGCCTCACCAATGCTGGATTGGGAAGTTCCTAAAAGGCTGTGGAGCAATAGCTAAAATACATCCCACACCTCACAGCCTTTAACTGCAGGTGCTCACCTGTTCACTCTGGCTTTGCACATAACCCCAAGACACTCGGCTCCTCTAGGCCACAGCAGAGGGGGAAATTAGAAGAGAGGGAAAAGGCCCCGTTGGGCTCAGGCCTGTGGGGTCACGTGACTGAAAACACCAGAAATGGATTCTCGGGGGGCAGCCGGAATGTCCAGGAGACAGACAAAAACACGCACGGATTGGAATCCCATGTAGACTGAGGCACAAGACTGAGAACTGGAACAGGCGAGTTGAAGCGAGATCATAGGAAGAGAACAAAACTCAAAAAGAAAGTCAAGTTCAGAATGTGAGAAGCAGAAACCACGTGTGGGAGAGCGAGTGTCCGGGCCCAGCAGCTGTGTCTCAGGCTCTGCCCTCCTCCCCTGACCCACAGGAGGCAGGCCATTGCATCTTCCTGCACCCCAGTTCTCTCAGAACCAGTGTGTGTGTGGAAAGCATGCACTCATTCAATAAATTTTCATTGTGCGCCTACTCTGTGCCAGGCACAATGCAAGGGGCAGGGGAAACATCAGCGAATAAACAGATTCCGCCGCCGGCGTGGCAATTAGGATTCTATAGGGTAGAAACAAGGGCTGCTGATGGATTGCAGGCGGGCTGGGCGGAGCCGCAGGGTCTTGTCGTCAGCTCTTCCCGGGGAGGATGGGAAGTGGGTTTTAGCAACTGGGCTTTGGAGAGGTAAGGAGTGGCAGCTTGACTTCAAGGGTGTGGTAAAACCGGAAAAATAGTCCGCAAAGCCACACATCTCAGCCTCAGAGTCCATACAAGCAGGCCCATAGCCCCAGCCCTTCTCGGAGAACACGGCCAGAGCCCGAAGCAATTCCTAATTTTCATAAAGACCCCGAACTCAAGTCCAGTGTACGTCTAGGTCGTGCTGGTGAAGGCAGCCTGTAAGTGTGCAGCATTTTACAAAGTTTCCACCCCAGAATGCTTTTTAAAATGGTGCTTTAAAAAATAGTAGGAAGAATTTATGTGGAAAACTTGCCTCCCCAGAGGAAGGTTCCTATCAGAGCCGAAGTTTCCTAGCCCCCCTGATCCCCAGAGGGACTGTAACCAATACCTCGCTGCCCATCAAGGTCAGAAGTCACCTTACAGTTCACCAGGTGTCCACCCGTCTGAATATTCAAATTACCCCGCACAGACGACTCTGCCCCCCGAAATGGCCTGTACACTTATCATATTTCGTTTTTGCTTACGTTTGTTTTGTTTTAGCTGCCGTGGTCTAGGCAGTTGCCTGGCTACTCAATCGGGTTCCCGCGGAAACCGCCACCTCGGAGAGGAGAGGAGATAGTCCCGAGTCCACGCCCGGCGCGCCTGCCCGACGGAGGAACAAGGGGAAGGGCGTGGCCCTGAGGGGCGTGGGCGTGGCCTTGGAGCGGGCGTGGGCGCATAGGGGCGGGGCCCGGAGGAGGGAGGGGCCTTTGGGGCGGGCGTGGGCGTGTGGGGGCGGGGCCTGGGGAAGGGCGGGGCCGGGTAGTCCTGGGCCGCAGTGCGCCGGCGCAGTGCGCTCTCCTCGGGGCGGCGGAGGCGACGCGCCGGGGAAGATGGAAGACTACCAGACTGCGGAAGAGGTAACTGCCGGCCGGCGACGGGCGGGTGGAGGCCGGGAGCCCCGGGCTGGGTGGGAGGCGGCAGCCCGTGGGGGGCCCCTGGGCGTCTGGACGAGGGCGGCGGCCGTACCCCGCGCGGGCTGACGGCGCCGCGCCCCCCGAGCGCTCCGCGGTGACCCCGGGCGGCCTGCCCGGGTGTCCCCGACCTGCCGGGGTGGGGCGGCCCAGGGGCTCCCTGCGCGGCGCCCCATGCGCCCCACCTCCCGCCTGCGCCGCGCCCACTTGGTCCCGGCCGGGAGTCAGGCCACTCGGCCCTTCTATGAGCGATGCGGACCCTGCCCTGCGGGGCGGTCCACGCCCGGTGCGCCCCAGGGCCGCGCGGGCGCCGGCTGGCCGAGGCCGCGCTTTAACGCCGACCCCAGGGGCACGCACGCGTGAGCGCACGCACAGCCGCAGCTCGCCAGTCCCCCCGGGCTCGGGTCTGATGCTCGGGCTGTCGGCGAGGCGCCGGAGTGCGGGTCGGAGAGCCTGCCTTTGTCTGCGGTGCGCACGGTCCCCGCCGCTCGCGCCCTTGGCCGCCGCGCTCACCCGCCGTGCGCACCGGGCTCTCGCTACCGGGCGTCCTGGGCGATAAAGGCCGTTATTTCGGTTTGGGTTCGAGCCGGCGGTGAGACAGCGCTTGTCAGTGGGGGCGGGGGCACCTCATTGTCTCGGTGAAGACGGGGTTGAAGCGCACAATTGTTGGCGAAGCGGAAGACGGTCATTGTGACGGTGCGCGGTTCGAACGGCTTCCATGTGGGCCAAGGATCCCAGTGGCCAGTGGACGTGGATGAAGGGGTTAAATTCTAGTGTCAAGCCAGCCTTTTGGGTCCTGGCATGATCCCAGCAGACACCAAACCAGAACCCTCCCGACGTCTCTCCCGGCCCCGGGCCCCTGGGCGAGCCCTTCGCGCTGGAGTTCCGTGATGTTTTCCTCGGGAAAAGGAAGGTCTTCACTTCTCAAGTGCTCGTTGCCTAGATTTGCATGAGTCAGTGCTCCATGGATGGGAATCTAAGTCCAAGTCTGCCCCTGTTCTTCCTTGCAGACCACTTTTGTTGTTGACGAAGTGAGCAACATTGTGAAAGAGGTAAGAGGAGACATGCCTACTTTTAAAATACTCGCGCGCTGGCTTATATGAGTGAAAATAATGTGTTTTAAGCACTGTCTTGGAATGGTTTCAGCCGAGCCTGCCTGTGTTTTGGTATTTCAAATAAGTTTTTTTAAAAATATATTTCATTGATTTTTTACAGAGAGGAGGGGAGAGGGGTAGAGAGTTAGAAACATCGATGAGAGAGAAACATCGATTAGCTGCTTCCTGCACGCCCCCTACTGGGGGTGTGCCCGCAACCAAGGTACATGCCCTTGACCGGAATCGAACCCGGGACCCTTCAGTCCGCAGGCCGAGGCTCTATCCACTGAGCCAAACCGGTTGGGGCTCAAATAAGTTTTTAACCTCAGAGAATAGCTAGATAAGAACTACTCCCATATGAGGTAAATTATGTATTTTAAACCAGACAGGAAATTTTATATGTTAGTATTATTATTGGATGTAACTAAGGCTTGATTCTATAACTTTTAGCATAAAGAGTCATGGTGTACAAGTGACTGTTTCCAACGTTAGTGAAGAGAGTGGGTGTAAAAAATTGAACTTCCAGTTACTGCACACCTGGTGGTTCAGTTGGCCATTGTTTGTTTCCTTATTTTTCTTACATTCCTACACTGCCTGCTTTATCATTACTGACTGTGGTGTTTGCCTTCGATAATGAGAATGGGAGACAAAAAAGGATTCTTGTTCTTCATTTATTTAAAAAAAAAGCCAAGGGGCATGCAGGGGACTGATCCTGGAGTCTACAGTCGGGACAGGGAAGGCGGGCGTTTGTCCAGTAACAACACTGGGAAGTGGTCGCTGCCACAGCAGCTGGTGCTGGAGGGAGTTCAGAGCTGGACTCTGAGTAGGGGCAGCATGAACTCAGCGAAGAGGGCAGTGATGGCGAACCTTTTGAGCTCGGCGCGTCAGCGTTTTGAAAAGCCCTAACTTAACTCTGGTGCCGTGTCACATATAGAAATTTTTTGATATTTGCAACCATAGTAAAACAAAGACTTATATTTTTGATATTTATTTTATATATTTAAATGCCATTTAACAAAGAAAAATCCAACCAAAAAAATGAGTTCGCGTGTCACCTCTGACACGCGTGTCATAGGTTCGCCATCACGGGAATAGGGGCCAAGTGCCAAGGCGGGGACGGCGTGTGCAGGGCCCTGTGCAGGGGTGTGCAGTGTGTCTGAGGGATGGGAGGGCTGCAGAGAGCTGGGCCGCCTGAGAGGGAAAGAGCCTCTGTAAGCTGAGCAGATAGTGACGCCATTGGCTACAAGAAAGTCATTAGTTGATCTGAGTTAACAGTACCATTGAGGATCTGTATGTGATTTGGAACTGATTCTAATCCAGGTTATTAATACAAATTATTGACTATTGCCAGAATGATAAAGAACCACAACCTATTTTTGTGAACATCATCAAAAAACAAAATGACTTTGTTCTGCCTTATACATTATTCAGCATTAGGCGTGCTTTTTTTTAGTTGTCTTTTATCTTTTCCAAAATAGTGTTTCTTAGGGAAGGAGTGGGGGGAGCAGGAAGGTGGGTGAATCACTGAGCCAGTGGGAAGTGGAGTTGGTTATGAAGTGTCCTGGGCCTCCCTCGTTTTCCTCATTAGCGTTGACTTGGTTACCAGGCAGCAGGTAAGTGGAAGGCAGGCTTCCCAGTCTCCCTGGAAGCATGAGGTAATGTTGTGGTGTTGACTTCACATGGTCACCGGCCTCCACAGCTTTGCTTGGTGATGTCCTCTCGGGCTATTCTAAGTATTGGGTAGTAGTACGTTTGGGTGGGTCCAAAATCAGAGACAGGTTTTTCTCCGTCCCTGAAGAACAGTGAACTGGGCCCAAAGTGTGTGTGTGGAGGGTCCTCAGAGTTAGACATTTAGCTTGATTATTATCTAGTAATCTGGTCCCTTTAATCCAGGGGCTCCTAAGCCCCCAGCCTCGCTTTATGCAGAGCTGGAGGGCGCGGGGTGTGTGGCAGAGAATGCAAAGGAGCTGTGATAAGACGCTAAAACGCATGGGGTGGAAGAAGCAGGATGCCAATGATCTTTGTGTAATGTGACTACTCGGAGTCCCCGAGAAGCAGGAATTCCTGTAGATAGAAATGAGGGTGTGACTGTAGGTAGCTTTCTGTTTCTCAAAAGCAAGATCACTGGGCTGTGCCAGGCAGTCGGCCCCTGTCACCTAGGTGCACAACCAGATCCTGGCACTGTTCTCTCGTGCTCAGGACAGAACCTGATGATCACTGACCACTTTTATTGTAGGTTGTAACTGTCATAAAAACTCAAGTTTTCTGGTTTAAGTCAGAATGTTTCACAATGTTGACAGACCCCCATGTAATTATGAATTCTTAAAAACAAATGTAAAACTTACTTAAATATGATCCTATTAAACAAAAGGTGTATTTGGTCTCATGGATACAAATAAGCTTACATTGATGCAAACTGTATTTCAGCAGTTCTTAGGGGACGAACTTGCATACTAACTGGAAGGTGCTGGGTGCACGCTGCTGCTAGTGGCTCCTCTGTGCTTTGTCTTCTAGGCTATAGAAAGTGCCATCGGCGGCAACGCCTATCAGCACAGCAAAGTCAACCAGTGGACCACAAATGTCGTAGAACAAACTTTAAGCCAACTCACCAAGCTGGGAAAACCATTCAAATACATTGGTAATGGATTTGCTTCTCGTATATATGGATGCTGGTTCTTGAAATACTGATGAGGCAGGACGAGTGTCAGAAGAGAGTGGTTGTGTCAGCGTGGTGCCCAACCTTCCAGTTCCCTGTAGAAGTGTCACTTGTGTTGTGCACACTGCTTTACTTTAGGTCATAGCCGGCATCACCTGCCTAGTTGGCTGCTGGAACAGTTGCAGGGCATGCCCCAGACTTCAGGTCAGATGCTTGTAGACCAGGTGTGCAGCGAAGGGAAGGGACAGGTGTGGTTTGTCAGTGTCATAGGACCTTAATTTTTATGAGCATCAACCACATGATCAATATACATATGCTGAAAGTGGGCAAAAAGAAATGTGTGTTGCCAAGTAGATTTCGCTAATGAAAGTTGCTTTCATTGAAGTGACCTGTATAATTATGCAGAAGAACGGAGCAGGACTACACACGGCGAGTTCTTGCTTCTGGGACAGCTCTACTGACGGTACGGTTCTCAGTCTCTGGGTCAGAGTCTGTCGTGGGCATTTTCCTGAGGCGGTGGTGTCTTCTTGGACCTGCTGAGATCTAGACTGTCCAAAGCCGAGTTTCCTGAACTGTGTGCGTGGGTGTTCCTGTCTCTGAATGCATGCTTATTAGAGTTACCTTTAAAGCATTTTATAGAAAAGAGACTTGCCAGCCTTTATGTATGTACCACAAAGAGGTAAGTATCTGAGTATTGGGGCCGGATAGTGAGACATCAGCACGAGGTGGCCCACGTTCCTGACTTTCAGTGCCATCTGCCCGCAGGGAGCTGCACCGTGCGATGGGAGAATAAGACCATGTACTGCATCGTCAGCGCCTTCGGACTGTCCATCTGACTGACCACCTCATCCCCCCAGGCTCTTTCTCCTCTGTCTCAACATTTCTCTCCGATCTTCTAGCCACCAGCCATGAATTCAGTGAACAGCTTTCCCGCCCTTTGTTTTCTGTGGCACTCTCAACATGCAGAGAAAAACCCAAGTGACCGCACTGTCCTGTGATCAGCACACCCTCAATCACGGATCGTTCTTGGGCAGTCGGAACCTGGACTGCCACGTGTCCGCACTCTGAATATCTCTGTTCAAAGGTGCTAAACACTCAACCTGCTAGTGTGAACCTTTCTCTACTCTCTGAAATCATTCAAACACACTAATTTTTCCATACTTTGTACTTTTGTTAGAATAAATTATTCCAATTTAAAGTTTGTTTTTCTTTAGTCTAAATCAGCGGTGGCCAACCTTTCGGACCTCACGGACCACCGGTTGGTGACCGCTGGTCTAAATAGTATCACAAACAAAATCTTCATATTTAATTAGTGCTTCAGCATCTATAAAACCAAAAAGGAAAACAAAAACAAGCTGCAATTTGGCTTTGGTTCTCTCCACACAAAGACTTGCTAACCCATGGGCCAGGCCCTGACAGCTCCGCTGTGTTCTGGTGAGATCTCTTCTACCTCCATCCTAAGGCTCCCTCTCCTAGAGCGCAGGTGGGAAGTGGGCCCACTGACTCTGTTCCCTTAGCCAGGAGCTCTAATGCACACACACGGCTCAGATCTGCAGCACTACAGCTTGTACTCCGTGTTCTCATTTCCAGTAGCAATCTCACATACACAAATTTTTTAGTACTTTAGGGCTTGCAAAATGCCTTCACAATCATTCATTTTGTATCTACAACAATTAACACCATTATTTATAGAAAATGTGTTTGGAGGTTATTGGCTTGATTTAAAGTTATATCCAAGTAAGTAAGGAGCTGGGCCCCAAACCCTGGTCTTGTGACCTCATCTTTGTGCTCATCCTTGGGCCACATTGTCTTGGCAATAAAGACACACTCCATGTTCACCTGCTGAAATGAAAAAAACCCTGCTCTTGTCCTGAAAGCACTCCCGTATGAAAGATAAGTTAACTCCACATGCAAAGAGCAAACCAATGTAATAAAAAAGGATCAAATATTACAAACATACACGTACCAAAAAGGTAGGCTCAGAATGAAGCCACTCCCAAAGTTTGCCATAAATAAACATTTATTCATTTTAACTGATTACAGTGCTCATTCTGTGATCGGGTTTACTGTGCCCACTGACAGAAGATCTAATTTGCAGCTCTACCCTTTCAAGCTTTAACTCTAGTGTGTTTTATTTTACAAATATTTACAGTCTTCTTGTAAAAAGGCAGTTTTCAGTAGCAGAAAAATCCTCCTGTATTTCAGAGTATGGTATAGTTACCAGGATATCTAAAACACGTGAAATCAAGATAAACAGGATAACAAGATGTCACAGACTAAAGCAACTTCCCTTTGGCCTGGGGAAAAGGTTTTTTTTGAAAGTCTAACCTCTAAGGCAACTGCCTTCTAAAACCCTTAAAATACCTAAATATACTTTAGTGTTTGTAGGCATCCCTTTTAATCATACCTTCGAATGGCGTCTGTGTTGTTCCCTGTGAAAAGGATTCCAGGAAGTAAGTTACTGCCCACATTATAACCTATTTACCGTAACTATAGCTTTAGTAAATACTTCACAAAATTTAGAGGCTGGTGACATTTGTCTTATAAATCTCCCCATTTAGTGGGCTAGTGTACATAATGTATCTAAGCTTACTACAGTCTGTAATCCTATACAGGACTGACCTTGAATCCATTTTATATATCGCCTTCTCTAGCCTTTCAAATGGGGCTTAAGAAAGAGAAACCACATCACTTCACTGCAGTAATGATTTAATAATAAATCAAGAGGAACTGTTGTCCACAGAGATGATGACAGTCTCCCTTGGAACACTGAAATACCTGTGGTCATCTTCCAGGTCACCCTAGATGGGACCAACACAAAAAGTTATCCCAAAGATGATGCTATGCAAGCGGTTACCATGGAAGAACTAAAGTTAGCCCTTTGACTTTATAATTTAAATTTGCAAAACTTTGAGGCTCCAAAGAAATAATTTCTTGCTACTGTTTAAAGTTTCTGGCAGATGTTAGTGTCTTAATCTAACACCTAGGGCACATACAGTATTTGCTAAATATACTTTAAGCAAAATTTTACATGGAGTATATAATCTATATATATAAAACCCTAAGCGACTGGTTGACTGTTTGACCAGTGACTGATGCACATTGACCACCAGGGGGCAGACACTCAAAACAGGAGCTGCCCCCTAGTGGTCAGTGCGCTCCCATAGTAGAACTGCCACTCAGCTGACTGACAGGTGCCAGACACCCATGCTCATGGCTGGCGAGTGCAGCTGCAGTGGCAGGCAGCGCTACCGCTGCGCTGCGAGCTGCAGCAGGCACAGTGGGGCTGGGATGAGCAGGAGTGGTGCGGGGCCCAGCAAGGGCTCGGGCTCCTCCCTGGCTGCCGGCCGTTTCGCACACTACTACATCTCCCAAGGGGTCCCGGACTGCAAGAGGGCGCAGGCCAGGCTGAGGGACCCCACTGGTGCACAAACCCGTGCACCGGGCCCCTAGTATGTTGATATGTATGATATACCAGGAAGGGAAATTGAAAATGCATGATTTGTTTCCCTTAAGGATTTTCTTTTGTAAGTTTTTTCTTGTTTCCAACTTCGTTACACCAAGTAAATAAATATGCCCATATTGTTCCTTTCCTTAACTTGACACCATGATGAATCAATATATGAAGATATCAGTCATCAGTTTATGGTTACAGTACAGGCCAAAAAAAAGTTCTAAGTTATGTGACTAAATGCCTCAAATTTACACTTACTGATAAATAACAGTGTTCCAAATTATGGACAATTATTTTATCATTAAAACGTAAACTATATCACATACTAGGATACATTTATTAGCACAAGTAAGTTTTGTCAATTTACATATTATTTATAGTTAGTCTTAATAGAGGTTGTAAAATTTGGTAACAAAATTTTTCCCAACACTTCTGAGCACACAGAATAAAAAAATGTCACACACCATTGCAAATATAAAAAGACCATGTAAACCTGAATTACCCTTGCAGCAATACAGTTGTAATCCAAACATTCATATTTACAGAGCTTTAAAAACATAAATGGAATCCATATTAAAGGTATGTTATCACTGATGTTTAAATTAAAAAGGAAGGTCTGAAGTGATGAGCAGTCCCTCCTGACCTCTAGGCGGTCCCAGCACTGCCCGGAGGGGGCAGTGCTCAGCGTGAGGGGAGCTGAGAGTTCATGCACAGGGGAAGGACGTGCAGGACTTGTTTGCACAGCGAACAGCCATACCCAACCTCTGCATCTGCCAGGCCAATCGGTGTCTGCCATGAGCTTGCTGGCAGCTGGAGGCCTTTCCGAGCATGTCACAGCAGAAGCAAGGGGTGTCCACCAGGGTGCTCGGTGGGACAGGAACGGCAGCCACCAGGGGACTGACCGCCAGACGAGACATTCCCAACAAGTTACCTTCTACCCAAAGAGGTTCTTCCATAAACCATCCAAAATGCTTTACTTCCTTTCACCTAGTTCCAAATAAGAAACTAAAAAGCTTTTTGGCAGTAAAGAAGTGAGGAGCCATTGAAATATCACATGTCAATCAATTGTTTAGCTTTTATTAAAAAAATAAAGCTCTACTGGGTGTCCTCATAGCAGAGCTGCAGAAAGTGCTGTTCCTTGGACTTGAATGGACACCTCTTCCTGCCCCAACCACAGGGCCATCCCTCCAGATCCATGGATGTGAGCAGCGTACATACAAATGCACACATATGCACACGACCCCTGGGAGACCTATGGCAGCCAGACCTTTCCCACTGGAGCTGCAACTTGTCAGTTACCTGCTCTTCCCTTGGAAACCCTATCAAACCCTCCTCGAATGCCCCAACACCGTTCTGCCCTGGTGGGTGAAGGGCGGGACCTGCCACCCACCTTCCCCTCCTGAGCCATTACTTCCCATTTCACATTAACAGGAGCTGCCGTCCTGGGAGAGCGCCAGCCACTCACTGGGGAGGGACTGCCCCCGAGAGGCAGCGTGCACACAGGCTTCCCTGGAGTTCAGTCAGAAAACGCACCACGGGCAGGGGGAGGGAACGCTGCCATGCAGTGGGCCTTCAGAAGAGCTCCCCACCAACGTGGGATTAGTAAATCATCTTAAAGTAAGTACATAATTCTCTCTACTAAGAGCAGGAGTCACTCCCTTCCTACCACTGAGGACAAGCTCTCGCTCATCTGAAATCTCTGAAAAAGAATTTGGCTGTGTCAGTGCCTCTCTTCCCAAATAAATGCAGCCACCCTAACAATAAATTTGGCCCAACATTAAACTTGGTCCTCAGTTTTGGTTTTCCTCTAAAAAATATGTAAACAAATAAGGACCCGGAAATCTCTGCTAGAAGACAAGTCGCACACAGGCAGGTGAGGGAGGGCAGGAGGCCACTGCAGGACAGGCCCCCACGTCTGCCCTCCCAGGGGCTCAGTCGCTCTCAGACTCCTCCTTGTACTGGGCCCGAATGGCCTGGCCGTTCTGCAGGGGCATCTCTTCATAGTCACTCCTGTTATAAAAGAGACCTTCGCTACTAAGACGCTTGGGATGGCTTCTCTCCCGCAACGACAGGCCATTCTAACAGGATCTCGCTCCCTTTCTATCACCAACTGAAAGCACCCACTCCACACCCGCACTATCACCAGGGCCCACCATCCAGAAAGCACTGGCCTCCTGTGGTCACCACTGGCTGGGTGTTGAGTAAACAGAACACCATTCAATCTCAGCCAGGATAACGTGGAAGCAAAGCCACGTGACACCGCCAGCTCTAGCATGAGCTAGGACACCCTGAAAATCATCTGAGACTGACTGACACCTGCTGAATACGCGCACGCAGGCCCAGGCTGAGTGCCCCCGGGACAGCCGTCAGGTGTCGTGCACTCACCCGTAGATGACATCGTCGTCCGAGTCGTTGAGCATGGAGAAGGCAGGGTTGTCTTTCAGCTGCGACTCTGAAAACAACCAGAGCATTTTCTAGGGCATTAGCCCGGACAGGATGCCGTCCTAGGACGGGCTGAACAGAGCTGGGTTCAAGCCCAGCTTCCACCTCTACTATCTGTGGGAGCGGGACAGTGTTCTGTGCCCCGAGCATGTTTCTCACCTGCCCGCCAGGGCAGCAGCACTGCTGGGCAACCGGGAGCCCACAAGCGGAGGGCGCTGCCTCCCTCCCGGTCCTTCCCCTAAGTCAGTGGGTCTCAGCCGTGGCTGCACATTAGAATCACCTGGGAATCTTTTTAAAATCCT